TTTTTTGGTGGTACTGGGCTTTGAACTCAGGGCTTCACACCTGCTACGCAGGCACTCTACTGCTTGAGCCACACCTCCAGCCCTTTTTACTCTGGTTGTGTTTGAGATTCAGTCTCGCTTTTGACCAGGCCTGGCCAGTGATCCTCCTGTTAAGCTTCTCACAGTACCTGGAATGACAGGTCCACGCTGCCATGCCCAGCTGCTTCTTTTGAGATAGGGTTTCAAATTTTTTTGCCCAGGCTGGCCTGAAATCATGATTCTCCCAATGTCAGCCTCCCTCAGAACTAGGTGACAGGTGAGAGCTAACATGCCCAGCTCTTCCAAAGTAGCTTTAATGGAACCAGAGTCGGTCTGAGTTTTGCACTGGGTGGTTAGGGGAGTGGAGGTCTCATTGGCAGTGGTGAGGAAGCAAGAGACCAAGACAGCTCACTGATTGTTCCAGAAAGTGAGTACTGCTTTCTAACTCCAGACACCCACACTTAATTCCCTCCATTAGACTTGTTTTAGAAGTGCTCTCTACAACCTGGCTCTTACTCAGTATCATCGATTCTTTGTCACTTATTAGCCTCTGCCACTCATGGACGACTCAGTCTTGTCTCAGGCCACTAACCTTCAGTGATAAAGATGAGCTCAGAATAGGAAAAAAAAAAAAAAAAACAAGTAATATGTTCAGTGGTAAAGGAACAACCTGGGTTTGATCCCCAGCACCACAAAAAGAAAAAGGACAAAGTAAAAAATTTGTAAACTCAGGGTTATGGACCATCTGAGAACCTGCTATGTAACAAGCATTGTATTAGAAGCAATTAAATATCCCTTTCTAGGTTTAGGATATTCATTACCTCAGTATTGGCTCAGTTCCTGCTACTTCTAGGTGTTGTCCAAGCCTGAACTTGGTCACATCCTCTTCCTTCCAAGTAGAGTTGAATATTATTAAAGACAGTGTTTAAGACAAATTTGAGACTTTCTTCCTCAGGTAAATAAAACTTGAGAAAGAAAACCTTTGTGTCAAGAACAATTACTTCTAAATGCAAGTTCCCTATTTGCATCTTGAAAACTTACTCCAACAAATTCAGTAGAAAAGAAAGAAGGCTCAAGTTTAAGGGGAAAGACTCACCTCGGCTGTAGAGCGGGCTGCTGCTGAGCGGGGGTGGGACGGCCGGGCTGGGCTTCTGGGCCTTGGGCTGCACTATGATTTGGTAACCCTGCATAAGACGCTGGCAGATGAACTCTTCAAACACCTGCTGAGCTGTCATCTGCACACCCTCCTCGTCCCTCCTGAAAAAGCAGATGATCGAGCCTGTGGCTACGCCTGACCCCGGGTGGTAACACCAGTCCCTGTTGTCTCTTCTTTACTTCCTTCCAGAACAGCAGTTCCCAAAATCGACAATTTGTAAACCAGCTTTAGGAGAAATGATCACTCAACAAAGTAGAGAAAGAAAGAAGGTGATAAGTCAATGCTCAGCTGAGTAATCTCAGAAAAGATTAGGTTTAGCCTGCCCAAAATAGCTGAATTTGAAAATATGAGAACAGTCAATGAGGAGAAATTGTTAATGTCAACAGAACTTGAAAGAAACAAACAGCGTTCACATTATAAAATTTCCCAAATACAAAAGGAGAACACAGATTTAAAAGGTCAGTGTTCAGACACATGTGTTCAGATCTATCCCCCTCACCGACAAAGCCCACACCTCTATCTCTGACACCGACCTGTCCATGTCAGCTTCCGGGAGGAGATCGTAGCAGCCCTCGGTGTAGTCGTTCTGCAGGCCCTGGCGGTCAGGGAAGTAGTCGGTGGTGAGAGGGAGGCACGCAGGAGTAGTGAGAGACTTCCAGTCCACTCCAACTGTGCAACAGAAGCCTGGCACTACAGGGGGAGCAGACAGCGTCAGAACTGCCTCGTGTAACGGGGGCGGGGGGGGGAAAGGTACGTGTGGTCACCATGGCAGGTTTGGGATGGGGGAAGGAGAAGGAAGGGCAGGGGGAAGAAGTTCGTAGTGAAAGGTGATAAAATTGCCAGGATCAGGAGGGAGGAGGGGGAGGGGAAAGAGAAAGAGAGAAACAGAGTTTGTTAGACAATGCAATGCATATGCTTATCCAATCCCATTGTGCGAATGGGATCCCCAGCTGCTAGTTTTCATTTTCTGCTGATTTCGAGTTACAGCCGCAATGCCAGTGAGGTTACTGCAGGGCAGGCAGGGTTACACATCGAAGCAAATCAATGTTTCCAAGAGGACCGCAGAGGGGCCAGGTGGGGAAAGGAGGCGAGCTCAGCCTGATTTGGGAGCAAGACAGCACACAGTAGCAGAAATATGGAACACTTTCAGAATTGCAAAAAAAAATATTGACAGATCCAAAAGAATGGGAGGAAAATCCAGGGAGGATGCCTGGGAAAGTTACAAGGCCGAACTTTTACAGAATTTGACAATCTAGAAATAAGAGCTGTAATCAGCAGAGTGGGCCCAACCACGGGGATCTGTCTGGAATTGTCTGCCCTTCAGTTAAAGCAGGTCTCTCAACCTGGGCAACCACTGACATTTTGAACCAGAGAACTCTTTATTGTGGAGGGCAGTCCTGGCATTGAAGGATGTCAAGCAGCCTGACAGAACTCTGCTTACTACCTGCCACTGTGAATATTTCTGCAGAAATGCCTGCAGATATTGTCACAGGTCCTCTGAGGAGCATCATCCTCCCCAGCTAAGAATCACTGAGTTAGAGTAATAAGGAGTGTATGGCTTGAATGTGGCTTGTCCCCCAAGGGTTCATGAGCTGGGGACTTGGTCCCCAGTGCTGGAATATGAGAAGCATAGAACCTGTAAGAGGTTCAGTGTACACAGAAGTCATTAAGGAGGGTACCCTCAGATGGGATCAGGGCAGTTCTCACAGGACCTTTAGGTAGCTAGTTCTTGAGTACTTCTTGGTAGTTTCTGCCCTCCCCCTGCTCTAGCTTCATGTTCTCTTCGTGTAATCTCTCCCTCTCCATGCTTTCTCATCATGATGCCATCCACCCATGTGATGCAGTTGGGGACTCTCACCAGCGCTGTGAACTCAGGGCCTCAAGTATGCTAGGTAGGCACTCTACCACTTGAGCCATGCTCTCAACTCCTTCCCCCCTTTTTTTTATTGACGGTATTGGAGTGGGAACTTGGGGCCTTGCACTTGCTAGGCAAGTGCTCTACCATAGGCTATGACTCCAGCCCTGATCTTTACATAAAGATTATTTTAATCTTTATGGAAAGGAAAGACCTCTTTTTTGTTTTGTTTTGTTTAGCTAGTACTGGGGTTTGAACTCAGGGCTTCACACTTGTGAGGCAGGCACTCTACCACTTGAGCCACTCCACCAGCCCTTAGGAAAGACCTCTTTAAGTGAAGATGATTTTTAAAATCTCTGTAAAAGAAACAAACACCCCATGTGCCTCTGAGTTCTGAGGGCGATACTCAAACACCATACAAACGAGTGTGTGTGCATATGAGTGATGTGCTGCAGCCTCATCAGCCCTCACACCACCCTCACATGAGTGAGGAAGACTTGTGTGCTGAGTCGCACAGAGAACATGCCCCATGCAGCACCACTGACTTAACTGAAACAGACCCAACCCTATGGTTTACACAGGCCTTGTAAACTCATCAACACTTCAGGAATTCAAACATTGCCCAGAATAGCCAAAGTTACACCCCAATTTCCCCATATGGCAGATGAGGAGCTGAACTTGTCAGAACTAGGAGCAGAAGAAAGAAACCTAATCAAAACCATAGTGGGGAAATCAGGAACAGAGGATGGCTGCATCTTTATGCCTTCTTAGATCATGCCCCCATCAGCTTCTTGATCACAAAAACCATGTAGAAATGTTTTCTGCTGGGCACACACCAAGATGCAGAGAATTAAGATATCTGGTCCAAAATTCCATGATGAGAAAGGATCCAGCTTCTTAAGTTTAATGATACTCTGTCTGCTCCAGGAGGAAAACTGAGGCTCCTTGTCTAACCCCAGTGCTTTCTGGTCACGAAAGGAAGGCCTCTGAGGAGGTCCTACCTCAGAACTATTGAACAGGTGACTAAATCCAGTGCTGGGGTTACAGAGAAATAGGACCACCTGTTCATTGCTGACAGCAATGGAAAATAATCCACCTGCCAATCCTACTTTGGGAAAACTATGCCATTGATTATACCTGCATGCTAAAATTAAAAAGTTGCAAGCCATTCCATTTCCAGCACCCTAAGGAAACAACACACACACACACACACACACACACACACACACACACACACACACAAAGCCTGGAAATCATCCAAATGGTTACCAATGACAAATGATTACTCAACCAAGATAAGATATAATAATGTGTTTGATAGTGTAATTAAAAATGACTAACAGGCACCTGAAGAAATAATAAAATGATTAAGTGAATCATAAGTAGAGACGAAAAGATTCAGTGATGGAGCCCGGGGAAGTGTCTCATTCCTGTATTCCCAGCTATTTGGGAGGCAGAGATTGGGAAGACTGTGGTTCAAGGCCAGCCCAGCAAAAAGTTATCAAGACCCCATCTCAACAAAAAGCTTGGTGTGTAGTACAGACCTATCATCTCAGCTCTGCAGGAAACGTAAATAGAAGGACTACAGTGCAGGCCAACTCAGGCGAAAAAAAAAACAAAAAAAAAACCTGCAAGACCCTACCTGAAAAATAACTAAAGCAAAAAAAAGAGTTGGAGGTATGGCTCAAGTGGTAGAGCACTTGCCTAGCAAGCATGAAGTCCTGAGTTCAAACTCCAGTACCAGCCAGGCACCAATGGCGCACGCCTATAATCCTAGCTACGCAGGAGGTAGAGATAGTGGTTTGAAGCCAGCCCAGGGAAATAGTTTGAGATCCTATCTCGAAAATACCCAACATAAGAAAAGGAGTGGCTCAAGTGGTAGAGCGCCTGCCCAGCAAGCATGAGGCCCTAAGTTCAAGCACCAGTACCATCAAACTCCAATACTGCCGAAAAAACAAAAAAACCCACCAAATAATAAGACTGAGTAATACATATCCCTTGTCCACAACCACATAAAATCAAGTTTATAAGGAGGTAGGACTTTTTCTTTCATTTATTTATTGCAGATAATCTAGATATTCTTTGACTACACAGCTATTTAGATAAGGATGACCAAAACAAATGCAAACTAGCCAAATGTTTTCAACTCCGTGTATGTAAGGGGTTCCAGTAAGAGGCTATTATTCTCTCAGAGCCATCAGTAGGCATTTAAGGGTTAAAGCCAGCTCTAGACTGGCATGAAGGCTGTGTGGAAAATTCATTGTCCTTCCCATGTACCCCCAAATCACATTCTGGAAAAGGGAATTGGGGCACATCTCTCTCACTTTGCTACAAAAAAGAGTCCTCCATGGGTCACCACACAGCCTTCCCATGCCCTAAAGACATGGGACTTCTATACTGTTCTCTTCCCACATGACTTTCCTCTTGCTTCCTAAAGCTCTGACCACCCCTTACCCCCTAAAGCCCCCCTCCTACTAGTCGGCTGACCCCTCTTACTTGGGTCTGGAGAGGTAAAAACACTGTCCTCTAGAGAATCCTTATTCTGGGTCCTGGGATTCATACCTATGGAAAGATAAAAACAGTTTGTCTAAATTGAGTTTATTCTGCAAGAGTTCTGGCAGTTATGGCTGAAGAAGGCCAAAACTGAAGCTAAAAATAAAAACAGGAACCAAGTGCCAATTCTGAGCCAAGTATTTCAAACAGCACAAAAGAATCAATCAAAGAAAACGTGAGCAATCTAAAATTTGGGACTGAGCCAGAACTTTACTCTGAGGTTATCAATATTATTCTTTGTATAATGAGACATTTAGCAAAGCAATCCACTACTTATTTTAAGAAAATGGACACATTTCAGTGATTTCAACTAATGAGAGCAATCGTTCGCACATACAACGTGACCTATTTAAATTTATCTTTTGGGCTTCAAGAATATAAGACATTAAACTTCAGTACTTCAGTAGAGTAACAATAATTCTACCTATAACTGGGCTGAAAAAAATTCAGATATTCTTTGAAATCCAACTTTTTGACTACAAAGTAATACAACTGATTTTAATACACACATAATAGTATTTAAGCAGTGTAAAACCCCACATGAGCTAGGAAATTAAGACACAGTAAAAAGAATCAGGACGTTCCTAAGCAAACTGTCAGCACTGGTTATCTCCAAGAAGGAGGGGCAGGGGATAAAAGGAGAACTTGTGCTTTTTATTCTAAATCCTCCTACGTTGCTCGCTCAAATTTTTTATCACAAGAACAAATATTTATAAATCCCTGTGAAATTGTGAAGGGAAAACAAGCTGCATCCTAGGAGGAAGCACTTGCAAATCACACTACCTAGCCAGAGACTTGCATTTAGAATACAGAGAAAACTCAAAATTCAAGAGGAAGAAAAAACAACCCAGGAAATAAATGAGGAAAAGCTTTGAACAGACTTCAAACAATACATATCGAATGCAAATAGCCACATAAAAAAGGTACTTTACATACCTGATCATTAGGGAAACAGCAAATGAGACACACAGTGAAATACCTCTATATACCTGTTTGGGTTTGTTTGTTTGTACTGGGGTTTTGAACTCAGGGCCTTGTCCTTGCTAGGCAGGTGCTCTACCTTTGAACCTCCAGGCCTTGTTTGTTTTGAAACAGAGTCTACATAGCATGGGCTGGCCTCGAGCCCCAGATCGTCCTGCCTCAGCCTCTCGAGAGCTGTGATTACAGACATGTGCCACCATGTTTGAATGAGTAAAATGACGGACCATACTAAGCACAGACAAGGATATGGAGCAACTGAAATCCTTCCACATTGTTGGTAGGAATGCTAAATGGTGTGTCGTTTTGGAAAAAGAGTTTTAACAAATATTTACCATTTGGCCTAGCAATCCCTCCCCTAGGAACTCACACAAGAAAAATGAAAACTTTTGTTCATACAAACTCATGGCTATGTTTATAGCAGCCTCATTCATAGTTGCTAAAACCTGCAAATATTTCAAGTGTCTTTCAGTTGGTGAAGGGATAAACAAACTGTAGTACATCCACACAATGGGACAGTACTCAACTAGGAAAAGGATGAATAGCTGGGCACAGTGTCACATGCCTGTAGTCCCGGCACTCAGAAGAGTAAGGTAGGAGGATCACTTGAACCCAAGAGTTCAACTGGGAGAGGAGGAGCAGGAGGAGGAGGAAGAAGAGGAGAAGGACTGGGGAGGAGAAGGGGGAGAAGTTGGATGTTTGTGGATATATGACTCTGAATTTCTCAAGCTCATAGAACTGTATGCTAGAACCTTACTGTATATAAATATTAAAATAAATTTCTTCTATTTAGTTATTTAGACAGGATCTCACTATGCAACCTAGGCCAGCCTGGAACTCATTATGTAGCCCAAGCAGGCACTGAACCTGAGATCATCCTCCCTAAACCTCCTAGAGCTGGGGTTATAGACACAAGCCAGGCTTTTTTTTTTTTTTTGCCCTTCATCATATAATAATTCTTTTATTTTTATTGTTGCGTTGGGTAAGGGGTACGTTGTGGCATTTACAAAAGTCTTTAAAACATATCAAATACATCATACTTGAATTCACCCCTTCCACCATTCTTCTTCTTTATAAGAAGAAGAATATATTCCCCCTCCTATATAAATTTCTTTAACTTTAAAAAGATGGTATCATTTGGCCAAAATAATTTTAGAACTTGTTTTTGTTGTAACTACCTGCAGCAAATTAAAAAAAAAAATTACCACTATAGGTTAAGAATCCTTAATCCAAAAATTTTAAATCTGAAATGTTCTAAAATTTAAAACTTTTAGAGTTCCAACAATGATGCTCAAAAAGTTTTGGATTTTGGAGCATTTTGGATTTGCAGATTAGGGGTGCTTAACCAGTAAAATTTATAAAAATACTCCAAAATCTAAAAAGCTCTGACATTTTCAATGCTTCTAGTCCCAACTATTTCAGAAAGGGATATTCAACCTATACCACAGTAGAAGGGACAGTTTATAAACTCAGATAAGTGCAGTATTTCATTTCCCTCAAGACTATAGCGTGAGGTCAATATAAAGTAGGTGTTAAACTTTTTCCTACGGATAAAGAAAATGAGGCTCAGAGAAGTTAAGTAACTTACTGAAGATCACACAGAAAGTAGGTGGAACCTGCATTTAGACTCTATCAACTTTACAGATGCTCTATTTTTAGATGGTCCATCTGGGACTCCAGTTTTTAGCTGTTGAAGATGTTATCTGTTCTTTGTCAACAGCCAAAAGACATTTGAAGCTAAATTTTCTGAGAAAGCTATTTTGGCTGACAGCATCCATTTTCATGCAAACACAAAGTATTACTGGGCAATGAGACAGATTTTTTTGGGGGGGGAGGGTTGGGACTGGGGTTTGAACTCAGGACTTCATGTTTCAAAGCTGGTGCTCTACTGCTTGAGCCACACCTCCAGTCCATTTTGCTGTGGTTACTTTGGAGATGGGATCTTGTGAAGTATTTGCCTGGGCTGGCATCAAACCGTGAGATCCTCCTGATATCAGCCTCAAAGTAGCTAGGATTATAGGCATGAGCCCCTGGTACCCGGATGAGGTGGACTTTCTAGTTCAACCTGAGAACTAGTGTGAAGGCAATTACAAAACTGGCATCCCCAAAACATTCTTGGTAATAAAATTACTAAATAGATCACTTCCCAGGTTTGGGTAAAGAGTTTACTCATTAAAGTAAAGGGTTTTTTCCCTTTAAACAAAACCCAACCAAGCCTGGTCTATAAGACAATTGAAATTATTACTTTTTATTCTTACAGTACTGGAGTTTGAACTCAGGGCCTTGCACCTGCTAGGCAGGGGCTCTACCACTCTTTTCTGCTTTATGTATTTTTGGGATAGGGTTTTGTTGTTTCCAGACCAGCCTGAATCATGATTTTCCTATTCAAACTTCCCGAATAGCTGGGATAACAGGTACAGGCCTCCAGGCCCAGGTTTTATTGGTTGAAATGGGGTCTTAGGCAAACTTTTTGTGTGGGCTGGACAAGTAGCTAGGATTATAGGCATAAGACACATGCCCAGCTGGCAACTGAAATTCTTACACTGATAAGCAACTCGACTGGGGCTGGGAAGGGGCTGGGGGCTCAAGGGTAGAATACTTGGCTAGCATGTATGAGGACCTGGGCTCGATCTACAAAACCACAAACAAATAAATTAAAAAAACAGTTCAACTTATCACAGCAGCTTTGATTCCTAGGTTAAAATCTGACCTGTGCTATCTCTAATGGACATACACACATTTTATTTTAAGGAAAAAGCAATTTAAAAAAGTATTTTTAAAGGTTTTTAGAAAGTTACTTTCACACTTCCTTTTGAACTAAACCCAACACACTGCTTCTCAAATGGTTTTGCCTTTGAGGCTTTATTCCATTGGAATAGGAAGAGCATCAACAACCTGAGATGTCAAAGTGAGACATGGTCTATGGCTCTGCTCCAACTCAACGCTTGGGAATGAAGCCTCACTCTCAAAGGTCAAAGTCAAACACACAACTTTGGGAGCTAACGCTGAGAAGAGCCAGCTCAGTTCTCTCTTTCGACATCTGTTCAGAGGTAAGAAGTTTGAACACAGGCAAACCATATTGCATGAAGACTGAGGATGGCTTAAAAAGAAAGTCACTTCGAGTAGGAGAGCCCTTGCCTAGCAAAAGCAAGGTCCTGAGTTCAATCCTCAGTACCTCATCAAAGAAAAAAAGCAAAACCAAGTCAGGTAGAAAAAGACTGCCCAACTCTTTGAAGAAACAAATCCAGTTAATTGTTCAACAAGGTTATAAAAGAGAGAAGAAGGGCAGGTGGAGTGGCTCAAGTAGCAAGGGTGAGGCCCTGAGTTCAAACTCCAGTGTCACCAGAGAGAGAGAGAGAGAGAGAGAGAGAGAGAGAGAGAGAGAGAGAGAAGAAAAGGAAGTAAATCTCAAGGCCAAAAAGGGTACTGAGTGCTGGGCTTTGGGGGTTGATCCCAAGCCTTTGGGGTTGATCCTGGACCTATGTGTAGAAGCCAGTGCTGGAGCAAGTCCTTTTTCCTCTCTGGGTTACAGACATGGCACTTACTCATAAAAAACTGAACCTGGCCTGGATGAATAACATGGGGCCCAGTCTCAGTACACTGTGGTTTCATTTTTGCTTTAGCTCTCATGACAGATTTGCAACGGGAATGAGATACCCAACACAAAACACCAAGATGCAGTTTCTGAGTCCTAAACTAAAGAAAAAGAAAACACGGCATCCATTTATTTTTTTTAAAAATCATCTACCTCTAATGAAGGGAATAACACTAATTAACAAGTTGCCTAAACTGGTAAACAGTTAAAGATACAGAAGGATGAACAGCTGGGGATGTAGCTAAATGGTTGATGTGTGCTTAGCATACACAAGGTCCTGAATTCAACCCCTAGCACCAAAAAATAAAGACATTGGCTGGGAATTATGGGAATGCAGTTCAAGTGGTAGAGCACTTGCCTAGAAAGTGAGAAGCCTGGATTTGATCCCTAGGACCACATTCACGTGCGGGCACACACACACAAAGAGAAAGAAAGCAAAGGATAAAGACCATCTGCCCATTCCTACTGACTACCTGGTCCCTGTTGGGCAGCCCAATGGAAAATGAGTGAAGAGTACTGCTTCAAGGCCGCCACTGGCAATGCTCAAAATGAAATAATGCAGAGCCCAGA